GTTCTCTTTTACTTAGGAGCTAGGACAGAATCTTGGTCTCTTCAATGTGCATATTCAATAAATGCAATAGCAATTCAATAAGTTAGTTGATATTTAAGTATATAAAGGAATGTTTTAATTTCTATCCAAAGGATGAATTTCAGGGACTTTGCTTTGGAAAGCATCTATTCCCTGCTTGTTTTCCAGCTCTTGGGGCTATTCAGTTTTCCCCAGTCTTTTGGGAATATAACTAGAATTTACTCAAGTTCCACTTTCTAGTCTTATTACACTTCAGGATCTCTACATTCTCAGTTTCTGGATTTAAGTTGACAGATACCAGGAATGGACTCTGTCAGTCATCATTGTGGCTGGAATTGTAAGACAGTGAGGTGAAATTGACGTCCCTGGTGTAAGATTAACCCACCTGGTAGTCCCAGCTCAGCCATTTACTAGCTGTGTGGGCAAGTTTCTTTACCAGGGTGATCATAACAATCATCCAAACCAGGGCACTTCTAAGGGTGAAGTGAGTGTTATCAACAATTATGCCAGAACAACAAGCACAAATCAGGCCAAACCAGGATGCATGGTCCCCCGGCTGTTGGCAGTATTAGCTCTTTCCTCTATAATATGTATAGGAAAATGTAAACATTTGAAAAATACCCATGTTATAGGATGTTGTAAGGAGTAAATGAGACAATGAATTAAGAGTGCTTAGCTCAGAGACTGGCATATACTAAGGGTCAGTAAATGTTAGTGAACTAACTATACGTCCCCAATTTTTCATGTTCCTCAGGGCAATCTGAAACATTAAATACTATCAACAATTAATATTGATCACTTGCTTATTATACAGAACTCACCAAAAGCTCTTGAGTTTATTTCTTAGAACAAGTGTGCCATTTTCCTGTTTCCTAGGAGTACAATGTAGAAGTCTCATCATCCTAACCCCTTGACTTGGTGAATTAATTTTCTATTAAATCCATTTCATTAGAATGCTGTATACTGTTTTGGGTTTAGATAAAGGAAGAAGCTATAAGCAGCTCTCAGTTTTGGTTGAGAATTTTACAGTGCAATCTAATCACCCGTGGAGAATTTCTTCCTCTACTAAAGGTTCCTGAGTAGAGATCTACTTCAAAACTGGATTTTTGCCTGGCTTTGTCAGAGGTTAGCTGTGGTTCAGGAGGCTTCTAATGTTGCTGTTCTTGCAATAAAAAAGCTTGTAATTGTGACCAAAGATACTTTTCTTTTTTCCCAAAGATACTTTTTTGATGCTTTAATTTTGTGCAGTAAAGAAGCAAGAATTGGAGATATTAAAATGTCTTTAATGCAATTGTGATAAAAACTCAGTTTAGTTGCACAGAAATATTTGTTATAACTAAAGAAGGGTGGATACCTGAAAAATACTTCATGTTCACCAGAGAAGGATTCTGAAGAACGCATTCCCAGAGCTGCTTGATGGACCCAGTAAGTGTGTGCTTGTTTCTACTTTTGTAAGTTATTATATTGGACCTTGTGGAAATCTCAGGACAAATGTTTTCTTGCTGGCATAATCTAGTCGATAGTTGAGTTATTGATGACTAGTCTCTGTTAAGAGCCCCATAAACTAGTTTCATTAATTCATCCATTCATCTATCCATCCATTGATCTGCACATCTGTTCAACAGATATTTATCAAGCCTACTATTACATGCTAGGGGCAAAAGATTTAAACAAGCAATATTCAGTTTTTATTCTGTGGTAGATTTGCAACACTGGCTCCATTTCTCCACTCCACCCTGTTGGCTATATAACTTTACAGTGGTCTTCTATTTTGATTCTTGTCTCAGACATGAAACTTACTTTGGCCAATGAGTTGTTGGCAAGCATGGCATTAGCAGAGGCTTGAAAGCAATTGTGCAATCAGGTTTATTCTCATTCTTACCTTCTTCCTCACCATTAGAACATCTGTGCTGGCTTGTTGGATGATTAGAGACTTGGAATAGAGATGAGTTAGCCTAGTCATTCCAGCCAAGAATATTCTATTTCAGCTGCAGGCCAGCTGACCCCCGTACATCGATATATCTCCCTGTACCTGTGAGATGTTTAACTGAGACCAGACAAACCACCCAGCCAAGCCCAGCCAAGATCAGCAGAGCTGTCTGCTCAAACATCCCAGAGGCACAAGCAAGAATTGCTTATTGTTGGGTGGGCACTGAAGTATTGTGGTTGGTTTGTAGTCAGCATTACTGGGAATAGTTAATGACACAGCTTCAAAGACTCTTGTCCTTGTATCTTTCCTCCTTGACAACCACACTTCCATTTTTTCTAAGACATGTTGCATATTTGCCCACTGAATGTTCTCACACATTCTACAATAATTTCTTTGCAAGAACAAAATAGCTGCTTGGAGGTATTTACTTCCATGGGTATATGCTTCAGAAAGATTTGGATTGAAACTGCAAAAATCCTATGAGCGTCTATGAAATGGAGGAGATTCATTCACTTATCTCCCATTTATTGGATGCTTGGGTGCTGACTCTGTATCAGACACAGTGCTGGGCATTAGGGAATGGGAGGGAGCAAATGTAAGTAAGCCTATTTGTGCAGACTTGGCATTCTGCTGGAGGATACTCTAAATGAGAAAATAGACAACAAACAACACAATATGGAAAGTACTAATATAGAGGGATGAGCACAATTTTGTTTATTTTTAAATCTGGAGAGACACACCTTTAAACAGAAACACTTAAAGAAATACTCTATTAAACCTACTAAACCAGGTTTCCAGTTACAGAATGAATAATTCACAGGGATGAAAGGTACAGCATAGGGCATATAGTCAATGGTATTATAGTAGCATTAGGTGGTGACAGATGGTAGCTGCAGTTGGTGAGCATAGCATAACGTACAGAGTTGTTGAATCACTATGTTGTACACCTGAAATTAAGGTAACATTGGTGTCAACTATACTTTGATTAAAAAAAGAAAATTAAAATATCCTAAAAAATGTTAAAATATAATTATATTATTCACTCATTCATTCAATGAATTCACATTGAACACCTGGTCTAGACAAAAGAGCGAACCAGCTGCTTGGAGGCTATAAAGAACAAGTCCTTTAAAAGGCTTATAATCTAGAATGGGACACCAGCAAAAATAATTAATATAAATCAGAAGGAATTACGTTCTAAAATGGAGGTTTAAAGTATAATTTAAGTGGAGAGCAAAGAACAATTAATTCTCATTAGGAAAATCATGGAGTGCCTTAAGGGTGCCAGGGAATTTAAGCTGGACTTTGAAAATCTCTGATTTATATCTACGCAATACAAATAGTTCTATAAAACAAAGGGTATCAGGATGTGGTGGAGGACTTAGATCACTGGCTGTAAGATTTGGGAAAGTGAAAGCTAAGGGATGCTGCAGAAAAAGAGAACCTTGGAATACTGAAGGCTGGGGGCCTGGGTTCTCTCCTTGGCAGTACAGCTCATTCGTTGTATGACTCTCACCAAATCAGTTAGCCAGTTGAGTTTTCTCATCTCAAAAATGAGTAAAGGGTTTCTGGATGATCTATACAGACTCTTCTAGCTTTAAGACCCTGAGTAATCTAATTAAATCACTCATCGTGTACTTAAACACAATAAAGTGTCCAATATTTTCCATTAGGGATAAGCCAGCATGGGCTCAGTTATTGGGTGTCATGTTTAAACTCATACAGTGTGAATATTTCATACATTTCAGTTATTCATCTGTGAATACACTTCAATCTTAAGTAGCACATTCAACATGATGGAAATTGTATTTTGGGGAGTGTCAGAATCATTAGTCCAAGTGAAACGGGGGAGGCTTGTGGGGAAGTTGCATTACAGAGTAGAGCATCAGATGGCCCTGGGTTCGAGTGCTTGTGCTCTCACCAACAGTGTGATTCTTGCATAAGTCACTAAACTACTCTCTGCCTCAGTGTTCTCATCTGCAAGTGGGAATACCAATCCTGCTTCATAAAGTGAGGAGCACAGAAGGTAATATGTTCAATGTTACTCATTGATAGTTCATTGTGGATAACGTAGGAGTGAATAAATGAGATCTCTGTATGAGGGTATCCCTCCTTGTATATAAGAGATGTGTTCCTGAAAAATTATGTATGACTTGGGTTTTTTAAAACCTCTTTCATATTTGAAGTGTACTGTTTTAAAAGTCCCTGCTGTGGCTCCTCTTTCCAAACAATTTGTTGTTTCTTAGATTATGTGAAATTTGAATTTATAAAGCAGAGCCATTATTTTCTTAAAGAGTGGATTATACAACTCCTCTCAGTGTGGAGTAAACTGCTAGGTGTCTACTCAGTATTCACTTCCCCCTTCTTTGTAAATAAGATATTATTTGAGGCACCAGTGTGCTCAACTCAAAGACTTCGTTTCACAGTCCTTCTTACATACAAGGGTGGCCAATGTGGAATAAGCTGAAGGCAATAGGTAAGGCATCAAGAAGAGCTCCCTTTTACCCATCATGAAGAATCCCCCTTACTTTGACCCTTTTCTTGTTTGGAATGAAGGTTGGATGTCTGGAGACCCAGAGACATTTTGTGGCTTAGAGAATGGAAGTCCTACACTAAAGGTGGTGGAACAGCTAGACAAGGTGCTTTGTGATGTGGTAGATCAGCCCTGGACCATCCATCTTTGGACTTCCCTTTCTGTGAGAGAGCAATAACCTTCTATTTTGTTGAAGACTCTGTGATTTTTTGTTCTTGATATGAGCAGTTTATTGCAGTTCCTAACTGATGCACCTATTGGTGACATTGTTAAGGTCAGTGTGCTGGGGGGAGGGTGTGCATGTCAGAACCAGAAATCAGAGTAATAATCATACCTGAGCACACACCCTGCCCCCCGCCCAAGCTAATCATCTGAACAAGATCCTACAAGACTAACCAGTTAATGTTGACAATACTGTTGTTTGTAAAGTTTATTAAACACTCACTTAGATGCTGGGGAAGCATATAGGAAGGATATGTAGTCTAGTCTTGAAGGACCAGGGAAGTCTTCATTGGGAAGATGGTGTGTATGCTGGAGACTAAAGGAAAGCAGCAGTTAGCTACTACAATCAAGGTGAAAGGAAGTGGGGAGGGCAGTGGGAAAGGCATTTTCAGCAAAAGGAACAATGTTTGCAAAGACACAGAGGTAGAAGTGAACTATGTCTACTTGAGCGAACTGCAAGTAATTAGTCCATAAATGGGACGTAGTGTCAGAGGAAAGGGATAGGGAGGTAGCAAATAAGGCAGGAAACTAGGCAGGAGAGCAGATCAAACAGACATTTAAGACCACGTTTAGGCAGTTTGCCCTCTTCTAAAAAGGATATACTTCTGCTTTCAACAGTCCATTGTGATGGCATGGAGGAGGAAGGATGGGACAGGCAGGAGTTGGTTGCGTCAGTGAACCAGGTATGAAATGACAGGACTACACTAAGGGTGTGGCATTGGAAACATAAAGAGTAGACAGATTCGGGAGATAATATGGGATGCAACCAGTAGGACTTGATGAATGAGTGGCTCAGTGTCAAAGAAGAGCCCTAGGTTTCTGACTTGGGATCTGTGTTAGTGCAAATTTGAAACTCTCATGGATGTCATATTTGCTGCCTCATATAAGAATCCTAAATGTCGGCTTCCTATTTAAAAATGAGCTTGGTCACAATTGGCTTAGTGAAAATTAAATTTTATTGATAAGAAGGGGAAGCCATCTGGCTGTTCTCTGACTGGTTGATATCTATTTCTCTGGGTATAATAAAGATGTAACCTCTGCCACAGGAAGCTATTACCTGATATTATTTATTTCCTGATAAAAAGGAGCAAATCATGCCTGGACATCTGTGGAAAATGAGTTTCTAATAAAGCCAAGGTAGTTAATGTCTAAATGGGAGTTTCTCTTGTAATGATAAATGTCTACGCTGTTGAAATAGTTTCCATAAAACTCAGTAGGTAAGAGGGTAAAGATATTGTGTAATTGTCAATGAGGCAATAAAGGGATGTTTGTTTATTGGATTTATAATCAACAATGAACTCTAACTCTTACGAAAAATGAAAATGTTTTGGTGTACCAATTTAGCAATAGAAGCTTCTGTTTCAGAAAAAAATTATATTTTAATATGTATTTAGTATACCATTCAGTGGGTAATAGAAAAAAATATGGAGGGTGCCACTGGGAAAAACAGCAAATGGTGACCATGTGTGGGAGTACAGTGCTAATAGCTCTTAGAACAAAAAAAGCATATTGCTGACCATTAAGTGTACACAAAAAGCTGTTTTTCTCTAATTATTCTATATAATTTTTGCTTATAAAATCCTTCACTGCTAAGCCTGCTGTCTGTATCAGTGGACTGCTAGAGTGTGGCAGCAAGAGGTAAAGTACACCTTTACCTTGACTACCTGGTTGTTTTTCTCCCTTAAACACCATTATGAAAATAATTAACTGCTTCTTTGGCATTGAATGTCAAACTCATAAGAAAATAATTAACTGCTTCTTTGGCATTGAATGTCAAACTCATAAGACCAGTATGCTAAAGATGAGTATGTCACACTCAATTGCCGTCCTTGTCTTGGGTGCTCTCTAGACTCAGGTTGGCTGTTGGTGATCCTCTAGAGGTCTTAGTGATCACTGAGCTCCAGGGGGATGTGTGATTATCTTCCACTGACTATGAGGGGGCACCAACAGGGGTTCCTTCTCTTGGAGAAAGTTATCTAGAACCAGTCTGTATTAGCCAGGGTCAGACCAAGCTACTGTAACAAAGAGACCCAAACATACTATGGCTCTAAAACCCTAGAAGTTTACTTCTTTTTTGCATAACAGTTCAGAGGTGAGAATGAGAAGTGTGGGATAGGTGGATGGTCCTACCCCACCAGCAATCTATGGTCTCAGGTTTGCTGAGACTTGTTGCTTTGCCTTCCCCTCAATTATTGTCCACAGCTGCATGGTCAAAGCCATGCCATAAGCATCACATCCTCTTTCCAGCCCAAGGGAAGAGGAAAAGAGGGAACTGAGGGGAACCAGTGTCCATTTAGAAGATATAACACAGAAGTTGCTTATCGTCTTGGCCAAAATATCATCATATGACCACACTTACCTTCAAGAAAATCTGGAAAATATAGCCTCTAGTTGAGTGGCCAAGTATCCAGGAAAAATTCAGAGTTTTCTAGTACTAAAAGGAAGATGGGGAAAATAGTGATATGGGGGGCATATGGTAATCTCTGCCACACAGTCCTTTTGATCTTTAGTAACTGCTGGCTTTCTCTGAGATGAGTTTCATTTTATGAGGTATTTGGGAAGGGGTCACTGTATCTTACTGATGATGCCCAGATGGTGACTGTTCATTGCTGAGAGAGAAGCCATTGGAAACTACATATTTCAAGTGTCATGTTTAAACGGATACAGTTTGAATATTTCATACATTTCAGTTATTCATACATGAATACACTTCAATCTTAATGTAGCAAACTCAATATGGTGGTAATTACATTGTCTATCATATTTACCGTCCTCCCTCAAACTATATCCAAGGGAAACCTAAAATATATGTTGAGAATTTTCCTGTATTGTTCCACAACCTTGTTCCTGGAACATGACAATTAAGATTTGCTACTAAGAAACAAATGATGACACTTGAAATTGTATGGGGTGCTTTGTTTACTTAACACTTAGAGAAAATATATTAAGAGTACATTTGTATTTCAAAATGGAAAATTTTGTTTGTATTGAGTCAAATGTGCCTCAGAGAATTTGGGTTTTTGTTTTCTTCTGCAATGTTAAAATGGCAATTTTCTGTAGGGTTTCCATGACGTTCCTTAATGGGTTGGGACTGATGAATTGAGAGGGCCAAATCTTTCGAAGTTTAGGAGATACCAGGATTTTCTATCTGAGATTCCAAAAGAACTATTTGGGGTCATTCATGGCTCTTCACAGCACTAACAATATTATCCATTTAGAGTATGGTTACCTATCTTTCTCTCCAATAGACCCTGAACTCCTTGGGAGAAGGACTTTTCCAACTTTGTGTCTCCTGGGCCCAGTGCACACTTGGCACAAGGTTGGGGTTATTTGAAATGTTGAATGAATGGATGAGGGAGAGAGCAAGTGGGGCAACAGGAGTTGGAAAACCTTTCAGCTTATCAGGATAAAAGGAGGAAAAGACGGGCATGGATACAACAAGTCCAAGGAGCTCCTATCCGATGGCTCTGTTTTCTCATGAGGTATGAGGAGCTATTTTCAGTTGATAGTGAGTTGGGGCAGGGAGATAAGAATTTTGAGAAAGTAGAAAACTTTGAAATTGTTACTTGGAAAACACGAGACAGTTGATGGAGAAATACCTGGCAGGATTTGATCTCTTTGACTTCTAGTCCCATCTTCTATTTCTTACCCTCTTTTCCCCTATAGTCTCCTTACCATCACTGATTAAAGATGCTCACATGCTTGCATCTTAAACCCACAAACCCCCCCACAACCCCAAATCCCTCTCCAGCCATTGCCTTCTTCCACCTCCCCTTCAAGGACAAACTCCTAAGAAGATTTTTGACTTCTCTACTTTTCCTCTTCCCTTTCCCTCTCCCCCACAGACTTCTCTCTATTTCCTTCATCGGAATCATTCTCACTGAGTCCTAGTGATGTCCTTGTTGCTAAATGCAGTGCAAACTTGAAGTCCTTATCTCACTTGATTTCAGAGCAGCTTTTGACTGCTCCTTCCTTCTTGAAATATTTCCTATTTTTTTGGCTTTTAAAATATTTGTGTCTCCTAATTCTCTATCTGCTCCTTTCCAATATTCTTTTTAGGCTCATCTTCTTCTGTCTGTCCTTAAGAATTTGTATTCCTCTCCTCAGGGTTTTGTCTTGGGCTTTCTATTCTCAACCTACATTACCTTGCTGTACAATCTTAGTTACTTCTGCATCTTCCGTTATATCTTTATGCTGATGACTGCCTAACCCACATCTTCAGCTCACATACTTCCCCTTGGCTCCAGACCCATATATCTAGATGCTTCCTGGGCCTCTACATTAGCATGTCCTATAGAACCTAATCTTATTGTTTCCACAACTCAATTCATCACCATTTTTTTGACACCTGCTCTTCCCCCATATTCCCTAGGTTAGTCAGTGGCATCTTCCCCCATTTGGAATACAATCCATAAATCAGACATCATCCCTACCTGCTAGCTCTCCATCACCATTATTTTACCTCTTAAAAGTCTCTCATGAAATACTGCCACACATTACTGGACTCTAGGCTAGCCACCTACTTCCAGTTCATTGCCTCTCCAACCCAAACCTGCATATTGCAACCAGTGTCCTTTCTGAATGCAAATTTTATCATTTTCTCCCTTGCTTAAATTTTAAAGATGTACCCTTTCCCTTCTCCTTTTGCACTTTTACCAGGCTTATACTCCTTCATGATTTGACCACTCTTCATCTTTAACCATCCCCCCTCTGGCTCTCTAGACTATATGCAGACTGACTTCTTTTTAGTTACTTTACCATACCATGTTTTCTCTCATCTCAATGTGATACTTTTTCTGTCTGGGACTCTCTTTAATTGCTCTCTCCTTCTCTGCCTGGATATCATTCATTCATTCATTCATTCATTCAACAAATATTTTGTTAATATACTATAGCATTAGTGACTCACTACTAGGCAGTAAGGATAAGGCTAGTGAATAAGATAGAGAAGTCCCTGTCCACTAACATCAGGACTGATGCTGTTCTAATCAAGTTTCTGTGTCTTCTTTCATAACAGGCATCCAACTAAACCTCATTTGTGGATTCTTCAGCAATGCCCAAGGAAAACTTTTCACTGCATCCTTCCTTAGGGAAGGATACTGGGTGGCTCACAAATCAAAATAAAAGCTCAGTGATGAGGCTTCATAGGAACAATATCCAAGAAAGCTCTAGGATCTCAGGGTCAGGAACCCTTGGATTGGTTCCTCATGTGCAAGGATGGTGTCTTTTTGCTTAAAAGTTCCTGAGAGTGCTTCTTTAGCTTCTAGATGTGTGAGAAACCTGAAGCATGTTTCTCAAGCGGAAGCTCCAGACTAAGTCAACAGGTCTTTTTCACGGGAAGACTGGGCTTGTGTTTCAGTCTATTATCTGTGCAGTGTCCTGGCGTGGTGGTTTGCCAAGCACTGTCTTTCCAGTTGTTACATTCCTATGAAGCTCAAGAATGCAGCTCACTTAGCCACCAGGGCCAGGCAATCAAGGGGCAACCCATATGTGGATTGCACGGGCCCAATAACTTTAGCTGGGCAGCTAGAGAGTGTAGGGGGTAGGGCACACTCTCTGGCTTCAGAAAGGCAGCAGGAAAATATATTGACAACAGAGCCTGCAGGCTTCAGGAATGCAATGGGAGTGCCTTGTCTGTGCCTGTGTACCTGCTTTAAGCTGGGAGACAGAGAACCCTGCAACT